TCCCATCTCCCCCATCCCCTCTCCCCATCTCCTCTCCCCCTCCCCCAATTCCCTCTCTCTCCCCCTCCCTCATCCCCTCCCCCATCCCCTCTCCCTCCCTGTTCCCTCACTTCCTCTCCTCCTCTTCCATTCTCCCTCTCCCTCTCTGGTTCCCTCTCCCCACCCCCTGGTTCCCTCCCCGTTCCCTCTCCCCCACCTCACCCGCTCTCCCCCCACCCACCCTCTGTCCAGCTGTGTGCTGAGACCCGTGGACAGGGCCAAAGCTCTGCTCCCTGGTCTCCTCCCTGGGGTGGGGAGTGAAGGCCAGGCCCTGGGGAAGGGTGAGGAGGGTGAAAGACCCCACAGGCAGCCCACACCTGCCGTCAGGGGACCTCCAGGTGGCTGCGGTCCCACCACGGAGTGTGAGGGAGGAGCTCCTGCCGCGCCTCTGCGGGAGGCCCCTGGTCCTTCCAGGGGGACAGGGAGGGGCCGAGGGGGGCTGAGGTCGCTGCAGGCGGCTCATCCGGCGCTGTCTCCCCCGGGCTGAGGTTTCCCAGCTGCCCGGCGCGGGGGTCTGGGGAGCCCGGGGTGCCGAGGGGCCGCCGCCAGGTGGGTTCTCGGGAGTGACCGGTCCCGCCTCGCCGCCCCAGGGACCTGCTGGAGAAGACGCGCCTGCTGAGCCGGGCCTCGCCCGCGACCCCCGCCGGCCACCCGGTCAGCGGCCTCCTGCTCCGCGTCCAGGGCGAGCCGGGCCGGGCCGGGGTCCCCGCGGAGCGCGAGGCCGAGCCTCGGGTCAAGGAGAGCCGCTCGCCCGCCAGGGAGGACGGTGCCAGGACGGCCGCGCGCGCCTCGCCCCGCGGCGACGTGAAGGTCAAGGAGGAGCGCGGGGAGGACGAGGCGCCTGAGCCCCCGGCGGGCGCCCCGCACCCCGCGCCCCCGCAGCTGGGCCTGGGCCGCGAGCGCCTGGGCGCGGGCTTGGCGTGGGAGCCGCCGCGCGAGCCCTTCCGTGGCCTGGAGCCGCCCCGCCGCGCCTTCCCCGCCGCGTTCGAGCCCCCGGAGCGCCCCTACCGCGAGCGCGAGCCGCACGACTGCAGCCCCGACCGCCCGCGGCCGCCCCCCGCCCTGGACGCCGCGCTGCCGCCCCCGCTGGGCGCCCTGCACTTCCCGCGCCTCGCGCCCGCCGCGCTGCACAACGGGCTCCTGGCGCGGACCCCGCCCGCCGCCGCCGCGCTCGGCGCGCCGCCCCCACTGGTGACCGCGGCCGGGCCCCCCACGCCCCCCGGGCCGCCGCGGAGCAGGACTACGCCGCTGGGGGGCCTCGGGCCGGGCGACGCTCGCGACTACTCGCCCTCCCGCAACCCCCCGGAGGTGGAGGCGCGGTAGTCCCGGCGATCGAGAACTCGGGGTCCCGGCGATGCGATCGAGGACTCGGGCCCGCTCCGCCCGCGCCGCCACCCTCCGGGCAGAAGAGCCGTGTTTGTACCTTTCCCCAACAGATGAGAAGTGTTTTTAATGGATTTGTATTTTTCTTAATTTTATGCTCTTTAGACATTTAAAGGAACCAAAAAAGAAACTTTGGCTTCTTTGTTTTCGGTTGGGATTTGCAGTTCGATGGCCTCAGCTCCTTCTCCGCGTCCCCAGGGTTTCTTTGTCTTATTTATGGAGAAAAACCGGTCACTTTGTCCAGCGCACTGTGAGGCCCCACTCAGGCCAGCCCTGGCCCCCTTGGTACTTGCAACCGAAGTTACAGATCTATATTAAAATAATAATAATGTACAAAACTTTGTTTTTTGCCTTATTCTATTATGCAGAAGTGTAAGAGGATTTTTTGGTTTGTTTTTTAAAAAGCAAACGAAACGTGTAAATAGTCTGTTGATACAAATGTATGACGTTATTAAATTCTTAACCTAGATAGACTTTATAAAAACGGTTTCCAGAAACCCCTCTGGTCCTGGTTGTTTGTCTAACAAACATGGTCACAAAAACCCAGGTGCTGCCAGTTGTAAACGTTCTCAGAAGCTAACTGGCAGCAGCTTTCCGTCAACTATGCAAGTGCTCCTCAGCCGGCTGGCAGCTCTGTTGGTGGCGGAGGAATCTTCCTCCTGCGACCTCCCAGCCCCTGGGTCCGTGGAGGGGTAGGGTCCCCCCAGCAGGGCCCCTGGGCCAGGAGAGCAGCACTCCTGGGTGGCTCGTGTGGGCTTCAGGACTGGCTGGCTCCAGCTGCAAGGGCGATTCTGTGGAAGTTTGTGTGGATGGTGCGGTGTTCTCAAAATCTGTAGACCAGACTCATGGCGATTTAGAAGCGCAAGAGTGTAAAGGCTGATTACAAAAAAAAAAAACAAAAAAACTTGCTGTTGTGTTTTCTCCCATCTGAGGCGTCAGCGTCGCCTCTGCGCGGTCCCAGCCTCCCAGGCCCCTGGCCTGGCCTCCTCTCAGTTTGGGTTTTGCCCTCACCCACATGAGCCCCCCATGTCCTGCCCTCCCTCCCCAAGGCCTTCTGTGTTCCCTGCGTCGGGGTGGTGTCCCTGCTGGCGTTCCCAGCACCCCGGGTCAGCCTCTGGGCCACTTGCTTTGTTCAGTTCTGTTTCAGCCACGTTTCCACAGTGGACCCTGCTTGTTTTATTCTGTCCCCATGTCAATCAGTGACTATATAAATACAGCCTTCATTTGGATGAAACTGTGGTCGTGTGTTCTGTGTGGCGTTGGGGGCTGGGCTTGCCCAGGCTGACCCCTACAGCCATAGGTTCCTCCTGCGGATGCCTTGGGATGCCAGGCGCCTCAGCGGCCCCACGCTGTTGGGAAGTCGCCCCGGAAGTGAAGCACAGCAGGTCCTGGCGTCCTGGCCCCGCTGCCACCCTGGCTCTGCCGAGGCCCCTCCCCCCCGCACCCCCTCTTCCCCCCCACCCCCCCCCCCCCCCATGCGCCCCCCCCCCCCCCCGTCCCCCCCTCCCCCCATCACCCCCCTCCCCCTTACGTCCGTCTGCTGGGTTCTGCATAGAAGGTGCTCTTTGTTCCTGCCCTTGTGCCAGAAAGTTCTGGCATGGACTTGCGTCCATGTGGGACTGGCCTTGCCCTGGCTGTGCCTGGGGGGACAGGAGAGGGCAGGAACCAGGTGCAGAGGTGGCAGCCCCCACCCTCTAGTGTGTGAGTGCCAGGCCCACCTGCCTTGAGTGATGGGGAAAGCTCCAGGTGCACACCTGGCCTTGGCGTGAGCATCACCCACACCCTGTGGGTAACCCCCCCAATGGGCACTGAAGAAGGAGAACTGTCCAGACCCCAGGCACAATTAGTGCCTGAAGAACGTCTTAGTCTATAGTGTTACTACTCAGCTATTTCCTCTACATAATCCTTCATATGTAATCATGTTAGTTTACAGAATTAGTGCCTGAATATAACTCACTGCTCACATATATCCAGTTTATATAATCACACTTAGTACTTACATCTAGCATACTTGGTTCTATGCAATCTGTCTATATAATCATACAGGTATTGTAGTCAGAGCTGTACCGACACATTCCGTGCTCATTTATACAATCCTTCCACAGAACCACATAGTAGACTGTAGTAGGAGGAATGCCTAGAGCAGTCACAGAACAGAAGCAGTACATGGGAAAACAGCCAGACCAGGACGAGAACCAGAGACCCAGGCGGTGGCGTCCCTGCCTGAAAGGGCATACGCCGTATGGCAGGCTTGGAGCAAGAGCCTCTCCTCCTGATAGAGGAGCTGTAGCACCTCGCATCCAGTTCCTGTAGAAAGTCGGCATCAGGCCTGAGATCCCGCAAATAACCGAGGGAGAAGAACCCCTCTGGTGTGACCAGTCACAGCCGCTGTACACCCTGTCAGTCTTTTCTCCCTTCTGTGCTAGCTCAAATCACCTCCCATAAATATCTTAAGAGAAGAGCACACGTCTGTCAGCTCCCACTGCATTGGCTTACAGTAACCTTCTGTTAGAGATCCTTTGAAGTCTCCAGCCCTCAGATAAGAAGTGTTGTGCACGACACCTGCTGCACACAGCCCACCTCCTTGCCTCGGTGACCTAATGGGGGTGGACCCCTTTTCTGTAGACGGCCCCCTACTGTGTACGGCCCACCTCTCTGCCCAGGTGACATAATGAGGTGGCCCCCTGGCTTGTGACTCACGGGATTATTATGCCCTATCACTAAGCCTATAGATGATGACCTCACTCAGGGCCCTGCCCCCTGCTTGTACCTAATAAATACAGATGCTCCTGGGCATTGGGGGCCCTCACCGATCTCCACTCATAGGTGGCGTGGCCCCCCGAGTCCAGCTGCTCTTCAGTTCTTCAGTGTCCTGTCTCTGACTTCTCAGATCTTGCACCTCAGCACAGCATAAGGGACATCCCGCGACCCTGTGGGGCCAACAGCCCTGCAGACCACTGTAGCCTGGACCGAGGACCCAGACCCTCCACCCGGCTACAGTCATGGGAGGAGCCCTGGATTGAGGGACAGTCTAGAAACCCCCCCGTGTCCTCCCAAACTGCTCAGGTCAAACTGAGCACTGGAGGAAGCTAGGGCGGTGTAACGGGCTCTGGGCTGGAGGAAGGGCACTTGGGGGAAGTGTTTTAGTCGGGGAAACCCTGAGGTCTTCCTGGGAGCTGAGGTGGGAACACTGCGGGGGCCTCTAGGTGCGTGGGGCAGGCAGGGACTCCTGCGGCCGGGGGCGGTTCTGGGCTGCAGGACCCCACATGCCCACTAGAGGGTAGCAGCGCTCCGTGGCCCTGGACACCCTCTCCCGCCCCCCACCCCACCACCACGGCCGGCTCCAGAGAGGGGGGCTAGGCCAGGGTGGGGCAGGGGCTAGGCTACCCTCCAGAGGCAGCACAGGTGGGTGGGCAGCCCCTCCTGATACCCCACAGGACTGGCAGGAAGACTGCCAGGATGATCTGCCATGGCCTCAGTGCCCGGGACACACAGGGCTGTGGTCCCTGGGCCAGAAGCCTGGTCCTGGGGCTGGAGCCCGGCTTGTCTTCCGGGAACTTGCTGCTGTTCTGGAACCTTCCTGTCCTCAAACAGCCCAGGCAGCCCTGCAGGACGGTCCGCAGTGGCTAACACGACTCCCCAGACCCCCACAGATAGCCCCAGGCTCCACTGACACCCCCAGACCCCCACTGACAACCCCCGGCCCCCACAGGTACTCCCAGACTCCTACTGACACCCCCCAGACCCCCAAGGACACCCCCAGCCCCCACTGACACCCCCCAGGCACCCACTGACACCCCCAGATCCCCACTGACAGGTACACATGCAGGTAGCCCTGCAGGACAGCCCACAGTGGCTGACACCCCCAGACCCCAGGCTCCCAGCTGACACCCCAGGGCCCCAGCTGACCCTTGCAGACTTCCACTGACACCCCAGACCCCAGTCGGACACCCACACACCCCTTGACTGATACCGCAACACCCTCAGAACCCATGGCCACACCCCCAGGCTCCCCAGCTGGAAACCCCAGACCCTCTGGTCACACCCCCAGACTCCCTTGCCCACAACCTCAGTCTTCTTGGCAGACATCCCCAGACCCTGTGACCCCCAGCTGGACTCCCCCAGACCCCATAGCCAACACCCCAGACCCTCTGGCCCGTGGAGCGGACTGGTCAAGCTGCATAGGAGGAAGCAGTTCCTCCGAGCTGCTGACTGCTCCCCGCAGCCGGGCACCGGCCGGGGCAGAGCCTGGCGTCCTCGTCCCTCCTGCTCCCCGCAGCCGGGCACCAGCCGGGGCAGAGCCTGGCGTCCTCGTCCCTCCTGCACTCAGCACAGAGGGCCTTGGGGCAGCACTTTAATTCTGTCTGTAATTAAATGAAGCTGCCCTTTGGAAAACGCTGGCTTTTCACTGTCCAGGCAGCAAATTATCTTAAAGCGGATGCTGTTTGTTCTGGGAAGTCACTTGATTTGCTGAGTGTGTGTGTGCCAGTGCGTAGGGCTGTGTGTGGGGGTGGGGGCCTGCGTGTGTGTGTGGGCCTGTGTGCGTGTGGGCCGTGTTGTGTGTGTGCCTGTGTGTCTGTGTGCCTGTGTGTGTGCGTGTGTGTACGTGCCTGTGTGTGCTTGTGTGTGTGCTTATGTGTGCCTGTGTGTACATGTGTGCCTGTGTGTACTTGTGTGTGTGATTGTGTGTGGACCTGTGTGCGCAAGTGGGCCTGTGTGTGCATGTGGGCCGTATTGTGTGTGTGACTGTGTGTGTGTGCTTGTGTGTGTGTGGTCCTGTGTGTGCATGTGAGCCTGTGTGTGTGTTCATGTGGGCTGTTGTGTGTGCTTGTGTGTGTGTGTGCGTGTGGGCCGTGTCGTGTGACTGTGTGTGCGCCTGTGTGTGTGCTTGTGTGTGTGTGTGGTCCTGTGTGTGTGTATGTG